GAGCCTGCTTTTTGTTAAAATGCAAATGTATAAAAACAATCGAATGTAAAAGAAATCATTTAACTTTGCCCTACTGCAGAAGAGATGGCTGCCTACCCTGACGTCACCAGGGGAATCAAATTAACAACATTTCTTTGATGTCTGTTCCCATGTTCGTTTATTTTACGGGTGGATTAGAGTCCTTTTTTATGATGCTTTTTAAATCGTGACTATTTGGTATGATAACAAACAAAAAACTCACTCATTCGTTTGTTCATTCACACATTCTTGAAATCAGTTCAGGTGTTCACATGTAGGCACTATGATGAACAATGAATAAAACCCAAAAAAAGTATTTCTTGGCTTCCAAAGAATTCATATTCAGGTTGGGCAAAGAGACAAGTAACAATATATCGCAACACAATCGGGGCGAGAGTATGCAAGATATGAAGTGAGCATCAAGAGGAAGGAAACTCAACCAAGACTTTGAGGAGAAAATGACATTTAAGTTGGGCTTTGTGGTTAAATAGTTTTTCATATAGATGCACATGGGAAAGGCAATCATGCCAGAGGGAACAGCATGCACAATCATAAAAGTAGAAAGGAAAATGGCAGTTTGGCAGTGTTGGAATATAAATTTTCATGGTAACTGTATGGGCTTTTGTTTTTGAATTCACGATGGAACTTGCAAAATAGACTAATGTCAAGACTTGTCCTTGCTACCTCTAAATTTGCTTCAGCTAAAATTCCATTTCATTCAGAGATCACTTAGGCCGAATCACATTTAGCCATTGAATGTTTACAAGGCCGATTTCCGTGATTACGATCAGTTCTACACTGGACATATCCCAGAGCAGTTGCATCAGCCGTGAGAGACACAGGGCTATTATTCCTTTGCAGCTCTCTGGGAAAGGGCAGCAAGCTCTCTGGGAAGTCACTTACCTGGGAGCAGACTGTGGGGTCCGGTCTCTGACTCCCAAATTCTTTGCTGTGTTCTGAACTCTTGCTCCCTAAAAGAAGTAAGGAAAATCACTCTTAGCTCTACATTGCTTTATTACATACCATTAATATTTGAGTGTAGAATATTTATTCCACCATGTAATTAACATCACAAGAGACTGGATGAGGAGGAAGAGAGAAATCATCCTCTGAGCATTTTCAAAATTAATTCTTTTACGAAACAAGATACACTGATATACTGTTTCGAAGGATTTATATGTATTCCAACAGCCATCTAAATCATTCAAAATAAGTTTACTATTTCATTTATGTCTTCACTCCCAGAAGCAGGCAATACTTCAGATAAAAGGAAATGAGTAAGCTATAAATATCTGCCATGTCCCCACTTTCGTGGAACAGAACTCACAGTTCTATCACACTCATGTGTCTGTTTTTTTCTTAGCTGAATAATTAGTCATTTTAAATTTCATAATACTTACCGAGAAAATGTTTTCTCAAAGAGTTCTAAAGCAATTTCTAGACAAGGCATGTGTGTACGTGGATCTCTGAAATGTAAGAATTCTGCCTCAAGGTTTATAGCACAAAGGCAATGTATTTCACCAATGAAAAATTCTTTACAATTTGTCAAGTTCATGAATGAAGCTGTAACTATTGTTCAGTTCCTAAAGGGAATTAGTTATTACACAGAACCAAGCACCGGGGTGTGGGGCTGAGAACAGATGGAGGAGAGGGGTTTCAAAGACGCCGAGACTTTTCGGCTACTTTCCAGATCGACCTACAGGAAGGAAAGAAAGAAGAAAAGGAAAAAAAGGAAAAAAAAAGAATATATTCTCTCAAAAAGGGTGGAATGTTTTAAAGACAGATGGGAAGAAATTTAGGAATTGCAATTAAGAAGTTAAAAAAAAAAAAAAAACCCTCTCCATTTTGAAGTAATTTTAGACTTAGTGAAAAGCTGTCAATGCACCAGAGAGTTCACAAACCTTGCCCAGCACGCAAACGTTAACATCCCTCTAACGTTAACCCTTCACTCGATCATAGTATGATGACCAAAACCAGGAAATTGACTCTGGCACAACGCCAGGAAGGAAGCTGCATGTCTCATTCAAATTTCCCCATTTCCTCCACTAATGTCCCTTTTCTATTCCAGGACCCAAACCAGGATCTCTCTACTGCATTTTGTTTTCATGTGTCCTTGGTCTCTTCCACTGTGTGACAGTTCTTCAGATTCCTGTCGTCTTTCATACCTTAAGACTTTTGATGAGTACTGGTCATTACTTTGCAGAATGTCTCTCGATTCGTCAGACATTTCCATACGATTAGATGGAAGATATGCATTTTGGGCAAGTAAATCACGGAAATGATGTTGTACCTTCTCTGTACATCATATCACTGATGTTGATCATTGTCATGTGACATGATGTCCATAGGTCTTATCACGGGTGACACTCACTTTCATCAACTAGTTAAAGTGGTATCTACCAGATTTTTTCACTGTAAAGTTACCATTTTTCTTTCTGTAGTTAATAAATATGTTGGGGGTGGGGCGGAGATGCTACGAGACTATGCACATATCCTGTCTCGCTTCACACTTTTTCTCGGCCTCCATTGACACATCTTGCCTGCAATGGCACTAGTGCTTGTGAAATGGAATGTTTCTGTAAGGAAGAGTTATCTATCTCTTTCCCCCCAAGATTATCTATTTATTCGAGTATTTATTTAAATCAGTATGGATTCATGGATGTTTACTTATTTTGTGAGTTATAATCCAATATTTTTATTACTAATAATGTTTTGTTCAAATTGTTGCAAGTCACTTCTTGCATCCTGCTGTTATAACCACTATCGTTGTTCAGTACATGTTTATAAGGAACTTCGTAACTTCTTAGTCTTTTAAATTACATTTTATAAATATATAGTAACATACATGAATACAAATGTAATACATATGTTTTAAAGAGGTTTGTATAATATAAAGAGTCAGTAAGATCTACGTAATGTCTTTATTTTTCTATCTCTATATTTTCTGTCTCCATTTTCAGTTATAAGAAGTTAAAAGTTTTGAGTATTTAAGTCCATATAGTAAGAACATACATGTTGCCAAGTCATAATTGCTCCCTTGCTGGATTATTGAAAAATAGGTTAATAACAGTCTTTTAGTCTGCCACAAACTACAATTTTGAGAGGGTTTCTGCAAATCCAGCTGTAAACTTACTCTAATAGCAGCAAAGTAAAACAGAAAGGTTAGTCTCTTTCTGTATGTTTCAGCACTCAAATCCCAATGGTGATATGACTAATCAAAAATTTACCTTGATCTGCTCTTTAAAACTGAGTTTGTGTATCTGCCCCCCAAAATCCTTCCTAAACCTGCTACATCTGCACCTGTATTCACCCTTTTCCAGAGGAACTACCATGTCACATGCTCCTCATGGATCTAACCTTCACTTAGCAAATCCCTCTTGAACCTTCTGAGACCTGGATTTTCAATCTTCAGTCCCGGGTCCCAAATGGAAGCACTGATGTTTGTGTACTTGCTGTGCCTCATCTCTGGTTGCAGACCCCAGGTTGGCGCTGGCCTCACTTGTGAATACTTCTCTGTATTTTTTTTGGGGGGGGGTGGGGGGTGGTTGATTGACATACTGTAATGTAATCTTGGGAGCAAACCCCCAAGTTTTTTTGTTTCAAAGTTATACACTAAGTCTGTAGTAAATAAAGCTGTCATAATTAGAAAACCATATGTTAAAAATTAAGTCACTCACTATTCCTGGGCAAACTGAATCAGAAAGGAGAGAGATTGGTTAAACCAATTTTCTGTGGTAGCCCTAAGAAAAGGTGGCAGAATTAAGTATAAAATTGATGTCTTTCAACTTCTTTGGTCTTTCTATTCGGTTGTGTCTTTTCTACTAGATATTTTCTACTAGATATTTTCTTAATAATCCATAAATTGGAGATTAGTACATTTTGTTGCTATGTTTTTAAAGAATTTTAAATACCAAACTACCTCACTTAAAATACTATCGGACTGTCGCACAGAAAGTTCGTTCTCTTTATGAGAGCATATTCTTATCTATACGTACTTCAGAGACCTAAAGACAAGCCAATAGCAGCTGTTCCACCTCTGAAGGAAGATCTGCGGTCTGTGCTTCATCTTCAGAATCATGCACAAACTTCTGAGTGTGGCGTGGGAGTCCCTTAGGGATCTCCAGAAGAACGCAAGGTCCTCGGTTCTTTCCTCTGCTTCCCCCACCCCACTCTCTTGCCAGTTTATTCCCCAAGCCTTATTAAATCACCTGCAATTCCCAGTAAGTGGCATGTGTCTTTTTATTGTGTCCTTTATCCTGCTCTTTCTGTCTGGCTAACTTTCTTTCCTCCTTCTCACTACCTCTTAGATAAACCTTTTTTTCCAGGTTGTCTAAGTTTCTTGTTGAATCGTCATACGGACATCTGTGCTGTCTTCTTCCCTGAACTGTTTCTTGGTCATGACTTACCCTCTGAGCCTGGAAAAGTGCCCGTCACCTCCAGGCACCTGTTAGGCCTGATACATGAACAAAGGAACCTTCAAATCGAGGTCCTCTGAAACAACTCCCTAGCACGTCTGCAAGACTTACCTGCTTCCGCATCACATCTGTAGCCTGCATAATGTAGCGAGGAGGCAGTCCGTGGCTTCTGGCCAGAATGATGGCCTGCTCCACTGTCACGCTCAGGGTGCACCTGTGTGCAAAGGCAAGGGCAAGTCAGATCCCACTGGTTCCTGTTACGCTCTGTGACAGCTTGGGTTACTCATGAAGGGTAATGAATATGGCAGCCTAAATCTGCCTCCTTGGAGAGCTACTCGTTTTCCTTTGGGTATTTCCCAGATACACGTGACATATACATGCTAATGAACTTCTTTTTGTTTTCCTCTTGTTCATTTGTCTTTTATTACAGAAGTCTCAGCTAAAAACTCAGAAGGGTAGTGGGAATATCATTTTTCCTCCTCTACGCTAATTTCAAAATCAAAAAGCACCAGCCAAATCAAAGTGGCTAGACAATGAACCATTGATTTTTTTTTTTACACAGAATATCTGTTTAAAAATAGATTATAAAGCAACACCGTCGGAGTCTAAAATTAAGTATTTAAATTTAAAACATCTAGAATGAACTTTGTTTATGAGAAAGTTTATAGACAGGAAATTAAATAAGCAGAATTATAATAAATTTTATTATCAGATCTTATTCTTTACTGATATTTTACATAAGTAAAAAACGACTTCCTAATATTTTTCATTCATGTCTTCATATTGATAATTAATAGATTTAGACGCACCCAATATCTTACAAAAATGACAGTGAAATCAACATTCGCTAAGATCAGAATCGATTTTTAAAAGAAAATGTGTTTCTCGGACTCAATCTAAAAGACTGTAAAAGTTTCAAAAGGAACTTTTAATTATTTATACAGGACTATATGCTTGGAACAGCCCTAAGAAAATTCAAAACTCAATCCAGGAACTCAGTGAGCCTTTCTCCCCCTTTCCTTCCCTTTAAGGCACTTCTTTTACTTCCACATTTTTCTCTACAGCAGTTCTCAGAGCCTGTGTTTAATCATTTGTTACTATTTTCAGGTGCCAGTCTCTGAATTGTTTTTTCAGTGCTACCTTTTCTATCCACTTAATAAAAATGTTCATTACTTTTAGATGTTCTCCCTAGAATTCACATGAGTGGGTTTTGTTTAACTTAATTTTTCAATTTATTGATATTTTGATTGTCTTTTCTCCAGGACTGCATTTAGCTTCCTGTGGTTTTGGTACATTACACATGTATTTTTCTAGAGCTGTTTAGTTCTTCCTTATAAATGAAAGTAAATTCTATAATGCAATGGCTTATATGTGAGGAATATCTAACCCATTTATCCCTGGTTATGAGGCTGTATTACAGAATTCTAGTATATATCTGGTAGATTTTGATACTGATGAATTTTTTTTTTTTTTAAAGAGGAGAAAGGTATTTAAAACATTACTGCTGTGATGTTGGAAAGAACTTTACGAAGTGTGACTGTGTTATTATACATAACTGCATTCTAAGGAGAAGCATGTTACGTTCCATTAGCTGTTAAATGACTTGAAAAGCAGCTCCTTCATTAACATTACAGAGAATTCTCTAGAAAGCATTAATAATACGTATTCAAATGGGCTAGTCTTATAATTAGCATCTAGTAGTACACAGTGTTTACAAATATTTAGCGTATGAGTCTGATAACAGCATATGTTATGGTTTTACATATACCTATGTGCTGTAGGACACTGTATGCCCACGAAAGCCAGGAAGTATCACTGACAGTTCGTGTTTAAAAATCAATTTTTGACAAATCATTTGTTAGGTTACTTGACGGACCATAACATTTTCTCCTTCTGAAAGTCTCCTCTACCCCAATTTTAAGTCCTCATTGATCGTAACATTTTAATCAATAATGCTCATTACATCAGCTGAATGAAGCTAAGAAAAAAATCTTTACCTATTTCTAATCACATGGAAATACCTCTGTGCTTCCTGAGAAAGCATGACTTCCCTTACTCTACTCAAAACAAACACTTATTCATTGTGAAAGACTTTTAACAGTCTGCCTATAATTTTTATCCATTTTCTTAATCCTTTTAAACTGATTTATTTCTCCCTAGTTCAAGTGATAGTAAACAGTATTACTGCAGCAAATTATCTGCCAGTTACTTTAAAAGATTTTACTGGAGTCTCCTGATCCATCAATGTGGCCAGTAACACGCTCTCTGACGGAGTAATGCAAAGTGTCATTTCTTTAGACCCAACCATACTCATGTTGTCTAATAGAAAAATCTACCTTAAAATGGATATTTTTTTTCGCCAGTATATCCAAAAAAAGATGGCTTCATTTATACTTGCTTTTTCATACTAACCACTGTGTGTATTCTGATTAAGTCCCATGATTAATTTGCAAGTGTTTAAAAGTGAAAACATTGTAAAGACAACTAGGTCAAGGTGGGCAATAGAGCCTGTATCTGAGTCACAGCTGATGTTCCCCGTGGAGACCCAGTTTCTTCACAACAGTATCACAGAAGTCCATTCTCCTAAGCGAAGCTCGTGAAAAAAAGCCTAGTCTACAACTTTGCTACCGATACACCATTATTTGCCTCATAAATTTTTATCTCTCAGTTATCTCAATCTGAATGTCAAGTGAAAAAAATATCGGCATTTACAAAAAGCATTTTGATTTTGACATTGTCTGAAAAATTCTAGGTCCCCAAAGTGGCACATGGTTTTTTATTGGTGTGTAAATGTATACGCAGAGTCAGCTTTCGTGAGAGATCATTTGATTTTATAGGTACTTCTCTCAGGATTAGACTGATCTCTAATCCTGAGCAAGAGAGAAAGGGGGAGAGCACCAAAGGCCAGAACCCTACGCAGAGCCCATTCGGTATGAAATTTCCTGCATCATCCACCAATATCCTTTCTAGCACTGCCTCTGCTCTAATAACAGACAGTAAATTAAATTTAAATAAATCTATTTTTTCACTCCATCCCAGAAAATATGGGCCTTCAATTTTCAGCTCCTTCTAGCTGAAATACCACTTAAAATTTCTTTAGACAACTCTTTTTTTTGCACACAGGCAAAAGGTCACAGAGTAGAAACTGTTCTTCACAATAAGGTAAATATAACATTGACATCAAAGAATGTTCTTCCATAATTTTAGTAATAAGACATCCAGGTAGTAGCTCTACTTAAGGAATACTCCTGAGGAAGTTCACTTGACAGGGCTGTAAAATTATACAGAAATCATGAATTTCCCCATAGAAAGAAAGAGCAAAGGGTCAATATATCTATGTGTATAATGAATAAATCTTCTTGACATATTTCATATTAAAAATAGATCCCACATCGCTCAGAGATTTAGCATAGTTTTAATATGATAAATGTGACCTGTAGCTAATAGGTCCAATTTAATTTGAAAGGCACTTTGATTTAGCAGTGTTCAATGTTATGGTAGGGTCACAAAGAAGTACCTTTCTATTCATTCATTCATCTATGCATGCATCCATCCATCCATCCATTCATCTAACAAATATTTTTGAGTGTCAACTTTGTACTTACAAGTACCATTAGGTACTGGCAAAAGTGAATTTACTATCTAGCTACAAAAGGTTGAGTTTCGGAGTTCTTTACTTGTATGGAACCCTAAGAACCTGTTTATATAGTCTCCTGCTTTAAAAAAAATTGCAAAAGCAAAATGTTTTAATTGCAAATGGTTATGACTGCTGTCTTTTTATATCCCGACTTCCCTCTGTCATGTTCTGTAGCATTCAAATGGCCATGGTTATTTCTGGAACTAAGCTGAAGTAAGTAAATTAGGGATGCATTTAGGTTGGGTTTACTGGGATCAATGTATATGATGCATAGTCACTTCCATTTATATAGTTAGTTTATTATAATATCCTCATGTAGACATGAATTTGAATCTTCCTCCCACCCCTGTACAATTCACCCAACGCTGAAAGGGAGGGGTAGGACCCCAGGCTGTAATGCAATACGCTTCAACAGGAGGCGCCCAGGACAAACAGGGCTGGACATGCACAGAGCCAGAAGTCGCTCTGTGGAATATTCTTCCAAACCTTATGGTTCATGTAGCAAAGGACCTTACAGAGCTTTTCGTGTGTGACAATAATTAAAAAGTTGATAAGATAATAGAAATAATGTTGATGCTGAAAGGCTTTTTGAAGTTATGAATAATTTTTAGTTGATATGCAAAGAAAAGACAATTGTTTTTCTATTCTCTATGGAAAATGATATTAAAATTATTATAATTTGAGGTGGCAAAGAGTATATCACCAAAAATGTGGGAAGAAATGTATAGAGGTGTCAGACAATAGAGTAATAAAAGTTTTCTTTTATTTTTCAGATTTTAAAATGCTTGTGGTGTTTATCAGCATTTTAAACACTGTAATTTGTTTTTTTCCCTCACATTCTAGATAGATATTAACTTTCATTCCTATTTTGCTTTATAATTTTCTATTCTTTTTTTAAAAGAGAACACTCAACTTCAACGCCCAAAACCTTCGTCCACATCACTGAGGATGCATCAGCAAAGCCAACCCCATTTAGGTGATCAAATTTTAGTGAGTGAAAAAAAAAATACATAATATCGGGTGGTTCTAAGGTATCCATGAAAATAAATTTTGTAGGGGAATTGAAAGGAAAACAGGGTGGACCGGCAAAGAGGTGGGAAGACCATTGCTGAGACCATTTCAGGATCAGCAAGGGCGAAGCTTCTGAGGTTAATGCTCGTGAGGTCAGCTTAACGACAAGAGCGGAGCTGATATTCCGGGGCACACAGAGAGGGGAAGAGGGTGAAGTTAGAGAAGTGGTCTGGGCCCGAACATGCACGGCCTCGGGGGTCAGAGTTTATGAGTAAGTGGGCCTCTTATTTATTTCTTTGGTTGATAGGAAAAGAATTTCAATATTAATATATATTATATGACATAAAAGAACAATTTGTTAAGCAGATTATCAGTAATTTCCTAAGTACCCACCTTTGACATCCTATCAATACAATATTCAAAGCATCTTTAGTTGCTTTCCAGGCAACATTTGCGAAAGGAGACTCTTCATCCTGATGTTTAAGGTTTCCTACCAACTGCTCTTGCATTTCCCATGCCACCTCCCCAGCAGCTCATCTGTCCCACTCCATCCAGAACTTTCTGCT